TAAGATAAGACTAGCCGGGAAGTAACCAGGCAATAAATCAGCTAGGCACGGGGAAAACACACAGGAGGAGCTGGCTGACGACTGCTACGGGCGGGCCTGTTCTCTTTACATTTACAAGCGATCTTTCTTTAATGTATCTATGGCATCATTAGATACTAAACATTTGACGCGGCGGAGCAATTTCCATATCTCTGAAATCTCTGGACATTAAAAATCGAAAATCAATGAATGAAAAATGAGAATGTTTTATTGACTCTTCACTGACTCACCACGCATGGACAGTCACGGTAGGCGCAAAACAAATATCTGGGCTAATTTTGATCGATTCAATCCAGGTATCAAACAAGTATTAGCTGATTTTAAAGGAGAACGCCGCTCAAAACTTTTCCGTATTTATTTGCTGTTATCGCAATAATAATGATAGCAAAGCACATGATACATATTATTTTACACGAGTGCTTCGCAAATTTTCTGAAAGGCAAATTATACATATCTTCGCTTCTTTAATTTTGTGTCCCTTACTGTGTTCTTGGGCCTGACGCCGTCCGTAGTTTGACGGCTTCTACACAAACCCATGACAGCTAGGTTCATTCTGTCTTTTTTTCCAAACGTTTTTCATTGTTGCTGCTTCCGCCATTGTTGGTGTACGATAAAAAAAATGTCCATATTTGCTACCAAGGACTGACAGGTTTTTAAAGACAGGAAAAACATTTTAAGGAAAGATCGCGGATATGGGTGGTGGCCGGAAGAGAGATCTCATGGGTTTTCAAACGTTCCAATTACACGGAATACATACATTATTTGTAACAACCTGTCAGTTATCATTACAATACTCGTGTCTCAAGAATGTAAGAACACAGTTTAGTCACAAAGATCTATAGATGTGCATGTGACATTTGAACCGGTGCACTTGTACTGTGGAGATCGGCTGCTTTTTCTCTGCCTCTGCCTGTGTCACACCGCTCGCCCCAAAGCTCAATACGTCCATTCTAGATTATCAGCTTTTGTCACCGAAATGACAGCCATATTTACCTGAAGCGACGGCCCAGGAATTGCGGGTACCAAGATAAATACGCGCACGCTAACCTTGGCCGCCAGTCAAGCGTGCATCGAAAATGAATTCGGCCATTACTATTTCATCTTGGCTCTCTTCCTCCAATTCTCCAAATGTGATCTCGTTGCCGAGGCTTGTAATATCGGAGCGGTGATGGAGGGTCCCACGGTGCGATTTGCGGGCGGAGAGTGGGAGAAAGGCCTCGGGTGTTTTACGGTGTCCCCGCCGTCACTCGACGGACAAGGTGAAGGCTACGGAAGGACGGGCCACAGGGCAAGATACACCCTGGCTAAAGTTTGAACAGAAACACTCTATAGGGCTGCCTTCTAACCCCTCTTATCACTTAAGAAAGGGATAGAGAGGAATCGAAAGTAGGATTGGGCAACACATAAAAATCGTAGCGGTGTAAAACGAAATGATGACGAGTCGTGCATCTACAAGTTGCTGGCATATTTCTCGGCTGGATGCCAGCAGTCCAATCTATACTGTCTCGGCTCGGCTCCTGTGGTACTATGTCATCAGGAAACTCTTCGAAACCCTTCAAACACGTCACAGTAATGGCACATTGTTTCCGTGGCAAAACCACTGAGGATTTAGACTTCACAGCTGCAAAAACAACGCGTTGGGTTGATTTGGAAAGTCGATGTGGGAAAGTTGAGAGGAGTGAGAGTATCTTAATGACGTGTCGAAGCGCACATGCACATTACCTCTCAGTTCGCCTGGGAAATTAGCCTGCGAGTGTATAAAACCTGTTACTGTGTATTTGCATTCAAAGGGCAAGCATATTTCTAATATACCGAAGCAAAAAATGGATTGGGACAATACATTACAATACCATACATTCAGAAGGGCGAACCAAAACAAGTAACGAACATAAAACAGTAGAACATGGCACATTTACCGTAAATGGCGGCGGTCCCCCTGCCGTGATGTTAGTACTCTCAAGGCGGTTGTTATTCTGGCTACCCGAAGTCTTTGATCATGTAGCAAGTACATTACACCACAAAATTCGCCTTGTAATCTGCAGGGTCTTAGCGGGAAACGTGACTAGAATCGAACGCCCATGTCCTTTAGGAAGAGGGTGTCCTTAAGGAAGTGGGCTTGCATAATTGTAAGCTTTCTCTCGGGTAAACATGTATTTTTCTTGTAGATTTCACAGAATACCTGATAGCGATAGAAGGGCCCTGTATCTGCCTATTGTTGTTATTCACATGGAGGAAATCATCTTGCTTTGTCACAGACGAGTCGGCCAATTTCGGGTATATAACTGATCACTACCCGCCGGCGTTCTAGCGATATTACTAGTACATGTACAAACTCGTTCCGACCGGTTGGCGTTCAGATGAGATGAGTCACTCTGAGTAGCTCCAAAATATGTCATATCTACGAGCGATGTTTAGCACACGCTTCTAGCGATCCAAGTATGAACTGCAAGGTTTTCCGTGTTTGACATATCAATGGCATAGGATAAGGTCATCTTCCAAACACTGTGCTTTCTAATTGATGTAGGTGTCAAAACCGTGTATATCTCAGAGCTAGCAGATATGATTCGCTGGCTACTAGTATATGTTACAAATGTATCAGCATTGCATGACTCAATTCTGCATACGTATCAGGCAAAATGCTATTTGAGGCCTTGGCATCCAATAAAGGGTTACAGTATTGATGAAAGAGACCTATAGCTAGGTTTCATATGTGTAGATCAAAATACAATAAAGACGGGTGTTAAGGTTGGCTCAAATAATAAAAATAAAGTTAAGTGAAGATGGAAGTTTGTTGCTGCTGTGGAACATTAGTTCATCTGCTGTGTTCATCAAGATCTGGTATATGTACTTTGCTACAATGAACTTCCACTAGAAAAGACAGAATGAATGTAACTGCATGTTCAGTGTTTTTTTTTAATTTGACACTTAAAGTTACACTTGTGACATGTTGTGTCAAGGTCTCACTACCATTGGACCTTCGCATTCCTTGCAAACTTCATAACCACATCTATTCAACCTTCTCCCTCCATAGTTAGCCTTCTGGCACCATCTTTGTATCAGTTACAAGATTAGGCAGCAGGGAGAGGGTTACGTATACATCCAATTCAATCATGATTTCATTTCCCTGAGATGGAAATACTACAGTATCTTACAATCTTACTTCAAATTGCCAACCTATATAAAATGTTTCACAGAAACTTTATTAATTTCACTTATTTCATTAATTTTTCTACAGTCACTACCTTACTTGGTCAATATTTAAATTCACAAACTCACTTTCATACACTACTATAATATAAAAATTGCCAAAGTTCACACAAGCATACAGTAGCTCTGAGAGTAAAAGAGACCCTGCTATTTAGATAATTAGTTCATCTCTGCCTGTAAGTTCTTGACTAGTCGTGACTTGATGTCAGGTAGAAGAACAAGGTGTGTGTCAGCACACCTGCCCACACACTGTTCCATCATGGCTGTCAGCTCCGCCTGGTTCGTGTTCCCTGCCTTCATCTTGTCTTGTACCTGGGGACAGGTGAGGATCACATTTTACAGGTCACATTTCTTCATACATATGGGAACAGAAAGTATTGTCTTAGCCATACGAGTGACTAGATCTAAGATTGGTTTTTCTTGCATCAGTTATTGGTAGACATACTAGTATCCAAATTACTGGTAGCTACCAATATGGCTTTTTGCCTACCACTTGATAGCTATGGCAGCATTGTGATCACACATCTACAAAGCATTAAATTAAATGTAAGATTTTGTACAAATCTGATTGCTTGGCATAGAGTGGAGCTCGTTGCCACCAAGTACAGTTGGGGTATCATAACTCTAGTCGCCTGCAGTTTATAGATGTTCAGAGGTTGGGAGTAACAGGTCGTTTGGTGTAATATAGCCAGCTGCTGCCGCACCACATGTCTGTAAATCTGGTGTGTTATGACAATTCAAAGAGCAGTTATACCACTGGTACTAGTATTACCAGCTATATAGGAACAGATACAGGCTTGCAACATCCTCTTCTCTTTACAACAGACAACCCATGCCTATTATAAAGATTAATCTGTCCCACCTCGTCCTGACAGGTCCTGGCACAGCGCTGCAGGCGGCTCTGGAACTCATTCAGCTCGTTGGTGACCAGCTGCTGGGACCGGCTCAGGGGCTGGCTACATCTGTCTATACACCTACAGGCAGTTGGGTACAGTAGTTAGCTACAACTGTTGTATGACTGAATTAACTGTGAGAAACGTATTAGTTAGTAATAATTTGTTTGCTTTGTTACCCTTCCTGGATCCCTTGGGTTTTTTTTTAATATGATAGGTATCTCTTACTGATCATAATTTATAGTTAAGTTAAGGGAACAACAAAACTGTCTGGGCTAAACACATGCAAACCCAGGGATTCTGATGTAGCGCCCCCCCTCCCAACCTAAAGTTTTATCTAATTTTCTCGAGATCGCACCTTCCCACATCGTCCATACTTGCACTGCTGTCGTCGCAGCATGTCGCACTACATCTAAACATCTTGGACTGCATCTTCCGGATGTAATCTCGCTCGATATCTGTGACCAAAGTTTTGACTCCCTGTTCCACACGTGACTGAGCGTCCGCCATCTTGCCTTGATGACCTCCAGAGGATGACCTCTAAAGACCGCGTAGGCGAGCGAATGGTGGCATGATGAAACAGGACCACATAGGTCCACAAAATTAATCGCTCAACTGGACCGTGCAGGCGCCCCATCTACCGGGTATTGGTGTCAATGCAGTTTCTGTTGCCAAGTTGTACCCAAACAACTGCAGCATTATTGCTTAGTCACTGTCAGACTGCTTTGGTTGCTGATTAGAACAGCAGAGCTTGTCCAAATGGGAAAAATGAGTTAGCCGACCATACAGGTATAACGTTAGATTTGCAACCATGGGTCTGTATTCAATTAAGGGAGTTTGTAGGGAGAATGTACCTGACCACTAAGTCTCTTTTACAATGAAGTACTGTATATGTAGAGATAAATGAAAGCCCCATTCTCTTGAGCAAATTAGAAATTGAAAGTCACAACTCCATGTGGGTTTAGTGTAGTTCATATCTAACGTTAGGGTGTGCACACAGGCCACACTCTACTTTAGATAATGATGCTACTATTTGCTCATGTAACCATATCATATATGTCCCAGATCTTGCTGTCTGAAGCAAGTTTCTTGTTGATAATGTGTATATGTAACAGTTACCACACAGAGTCACAGACACTCATCATGTTCCTACTAATGTTCCATCTTTTACTTCCAAACAGTTAACATTACATACCAATCCATGAACAAACGAGATGCATCTAAATAAATCTCATCTTCACAAACTGACAAACCAAAAGTTTCACAAAATGACAAGCATAACAGTTTTTCTTATGACTATCCACTACACCTCCTCATGTGGAGATACTGGCAATAGACCGTTATACTTAGATGAGGTATTTTACAGGAATCTGATTGTGCTTTGAAAAACACAATAAAATGTGTATCTTATATATTGCAAACACAATACATGTGACAATAGACAAAAACAAAAATAGTAGAATCTAATGTAATGTTACAT